CTCTAGTGGTCGACCAGTGTGGCACTCCGCTCCGCTCCAGTTTAACAGGGGGGTCCAGTGCCATGACCCATTATATCTGAGTGAATTACAATAGTTCGTGGGTCGTTGGTTGTTTTCGTTGATTCTAACACGGAATTACATGAAGTCCACTGACTGGGTTCCCAATCCTTCTCATCTTCCAGCTGGACAAAGGCCTGTCGCGGGGCTCAGCGAATCAACCAACGGCTCGACTCAGCGAGGAATGCCCTGGTTGGGGGGTCGACCGTGCCCGCCGAACCTGAGGAGATGGGTCAGGGGCCCTAGGGTTACGTAGCATTCGCGCCCGCAATGTGCATCATCTAGATCGCCATATCGACTGAAAGTCAAGAGGTTGGACGGTGCGAACGCCAAGGCCAAATCTTGCCGCCTGCAATTGATGACAAATGATTTCGCTAAAAGCATCATGTTCCGAAGTTCATACCTTACGCAAGAGGACCAAACATGGAACACCAACTCATCTACGTGGTCTAGTGATGTCTAGTCCGCACATGGAACCGTGCCTTTGATGGGACCGTCGGCACTGCTCTGTCTCCCTTAGCTATGTCATGCTATGTCTCTGAAGCATTCTCCATTGGGGCGCTTTGAGCGAAGAAATTGACCAACACCTGGCGAAGCTCCTGGCCGATGGAGGTCTCCAGGTGGGTCACTTGGTGCTGCTGAACTCCCAGTTGGTGCCCTACATGACATGATGTACTTGTACCTTGTAGTACTTGGAGGGCCTAGCCCTCGTGTCATATACCTGGGCACTGAGTAATTACTCCTAAAAATGGAAAAGGATCGACCGGTTTATATAGGATCATGTGCCATTTTCTAGGGCATTTGCAGTTGGGTTCAGCTATCTAAGCTCACCATCCCTTCAGAGCAGCGCGGTTCTCTTCAGGGCGCACTGCCGCTTCTGCGCGCGCCGCCTTCATCCTCTGTTCGAGGTGACCAATGGGTGAACAACGGTCGGTGCCACTCTTTGGCAGCAAACATGGTAGAGAGTCATGGACGGTCTGATCATCAAACTGTCCTGATAGTCGTGTGAATCTGTCTGAGTGCGGTTTACATCAACTTCCTTCACATCCCACCGGTGATTGCAGTTGCAGACTGGTGAATCTTGTGTCTTTGGCTCGTGATGAGAGAAAACGAGGATTGATTTCATGGCTGGTTGGTGGTTTCACGTCACTTGAAAAGAATAGTCAGTGGGTTCAATCATGCCAAGTAAATCTTGAACATACTATCCGAAACCACCTACGTGGGCCGTGGGCCATGTCTGGATGGAATCCAATATTGGTATGGATATGTATGGATGTTGACAGGTAACTGGATGGTCTTGAAGTAGGGAATTGTAGGGATATATGTTGGGTGTTTGTCTGCTATACTAGGTAGTGCAAAGGGTAGGGCAAGGTATGACAAAAGCCTTGGCACACCCAAGTTCTACATCACTTATATATAGGGACCAGGGATGCCTGAGACAGGAGATTTACTGTATGTCAATGTGCAAACCGTGCAGATGAGAAACTAACAAAGGCATAATCTCAACATATCTCAATTATAGACTCTGACTCTAGACCCCAGGAGCCAATAGTTCCAATGGTTTCTGTGCAACCCTTGGTAACAACAGCAACCAATGGCCCCACAAACCATCAAACACCTGGTTTTCCCTAGCAAATAAAACCTGTTTTTTGTTCGTGAAAACCTTGATTGTTCATGGTTTGGCGGGTCACTGGAAGGGACTGATTTTATCCCAAACACTCCAATGTATGGTATCTACGCCGCCTGAGGAAAATCCCTTTCCCACCCCCTGGCCCGATCGGTCGTCCGGACTGCCAGTCCGTGTCTGGGTCATGTTATTTCGGCGGTTACCTGGACCCGACTTCAAGTAGTTTAGAACATGGGTCCTGACCCTATGAAAATGGGTCCTGACGGCTTGCTGCTTGAACATCCACGACAGGTCCATGTGGACGGATGCGACACCCTCAAAGGAACCCATGGACAACGTCAGACCTTCGCCGGCCTGCGACGCGCAGGAGGCGACACAACCGGAGGCGACACAACCGCCCCGCTTTGGCTTCGAAGTGACCCAAAGTGGAGTTCCCCTTCGACAAGAAACAAATGAAAGAGTTTCTGGAGGCTCAAAAATGAGATCACTTCGCGGGTCTGGATTCATCGCACAAAACCCTGCTTGATTCCTTGATGTGTCACCAGGACTCCAACATACACAGAGGCTGCAAACAAATGTGAAGATGCTGAAAACGCGGGTAACACTGAAACATGAGCACCAATGATGCATCCGTCCAATGTTCCAACAAAACAGCCCTCGTCCGTGTTGGGGTCTGAGGGAAGCCGTCTTCACACTATCAAAAAGAATCATGAACCAATCCATGACGTGACGATGCAATTATTGCAATTCATTAAAGGGAACATGTTAGTTTCTGCCCACACAGTAGTTACAGTTGTCTTCAACAACCACGTGTATGTTTTTTTTGTGTGTTCTATTTTGTGTCTACCCCTCAATGGACATGCCAATGCGATACAACTGCAATAAACAGGGAACCAATATATATATATATATGTATATATGTATATCTGTTTTGCTGTCGCGTCACAAATCAGGGTGGTTGTCGTTTGTTAAACTGTAGTCTGTAGTCTGCTTGCCCATCAAACACACATGACCGTCTGGGCGACAGCATTGGCCGACAAAACACCCCGATTGGGCATGGAAGGTTCCACTTGACTATACCTTGCACTTCTTATGGATCCATGAGACACCCAGTTGGAAGATCCAGATCCAACCAATTCCCATCCCAAGCCCTTCCCAACCTGATCTCAGCCTTGGAAGATCCAACAAGGGCAGGACAGCCTTGCAAAAGAAACAGCGACATGTCGATCGCCTGACCCTTCTCCACATCCAATCGGCAATCCAAATCACGTCATTGGTTTGAGTTCATGTCCATGTCCTTTACCTTCAGGATGATTGTCACATCAACTAGACACGCAGCATGGTGGAAAACACTTTTTGCAAGATGTCATTTCGAAAACCACATGATGAGGATCGAACTAGGTTTGCGAGTGCCCACTCGAGGTGTCGGTATACGCCGGGACCGGCCCCAAATTTTCCATGGAACGATGGGATCATTCTAGCATAGCAAGTTCAAGCTAAGATTGACAGTCGATGTGACCCCACCAGATTTGAACTCCCAAGTAGGTGGCTGTAATTTTTGGGTTTGCCAGATACAAACGACATAAACTGGCATATGATAACAAAAAGGGGCAAACCTTGCAAACCCTCTGCCTCCCATCGGTGGGGATTCTAGTAGTTGACTTATTTGTTTTTCAAGCGTGGGATCGTACCCAGGACGCCCTAGCCAAACAGCAAGCGATGTGAACACATCCGCCTGGCGTTCGACCAACCCAACAGTTCAGCCGATTTGTTGACGAACGCCAAATACTCAATCTGCAGTGTCTTTTTCTCGGGCTGAGTCCAGCGTATTGCAACTGCGCTGAAGAGCACTTTGCATGCCAGTATCTACGTTTTTCAGCTGAGCGGCTTTAGCATCAACAACCATCCTTACTCATCTAGTTCACTTTTTGTGCCATCTGTGGCACTAGCGTCACCACCTGATTGGCTGAATCTTGGCCACTGGCCTAGCCCAAGCCAACGCGCTGCACTCCGCACATGCATGGTCTCACCGCACCGCGCACCTGCTCTCCCATGTTGTTCCATGAAGCCTCCTGTCTTGGAAAGCCTATCTTTAGCCAATACAAATTCAGTTGTCTGACGCACTTGTTCTGAGATATCATCAACTTCCATCGAATGGCGGCAACCAAAGTTCTGGGCAAAAGAATGCAGGAACTTGGCTACCAGCACGTGGATTGGCGTGGCAGTTTGACAAAGCAAAACGCATAGAAACAACTGTCCCTAATTGCCCCTCTCTGTGCTTGATAACAAGGTTTGAGACTGTCTCCAGCTTCTGGGAACTGGGACTGCTCTTTTGCAGGATGTCAATGCTACAAGCCACAATCTGGGCATGGCTAAAGCATATAGGGTGGCAAACCCCACTCAAAAGAGAAAGCAGGCTATGGTGAACCACCGAGACCTTCAACCTCCTGACCCCCAGACCGCCCGGTGCCTGAGTAACTTCCTCTTCCTGGCGGTTGGACATGGGAGGAGAAACAGCTGGAGTTCGTAGGTGTTCAGGAAGATGAGGTATTGTGTGAAATAGAAAAATCTACGGACACATGGTATCAACATACCCTCCTATTGCCCATTAAACATCCCTTTTACAATTCATGTCCAACACTCCTTTCACTTCACCGATCCCAAAAATCCTATCTCTAATATCTAATGTATTCCAAAGACCACAAGAGGTTTAGTCTTTAGGATCCCTCCTCGGGCCTCTCCGCGTGAAGAGACTTAGTCTTTGGGGCGATCTCCTCATGAAGAGACGAAGAGTCTGACCGTGACCTCTCCGAATTGACCAACCCCAATGTAAAAACATGTCAAAAAAAGAATCCCACTTTGATGGCCATAGGAAAACCTTGAGGGGGGGTTATGACTTCCAGTGATCTCATCACAAATAAGGCTTGGAAGACCTTGCAAGAGCATGCTTCTGAGAAGGGTCCGACCGCGGGCCCGGAACATGCTAGATGTGTTGGAGCACGATCGACATGACTAGATGGAGTATACCAGGACCCTCCAAGGGGTGCCCAATGAAAGCCTATAGGTAGTGTGGGTAGTCCATTGGACACCCCTTGGAGGGTCCAGGTATAATACACTTCCTGGAATCATCGTGGAAGTGGAAAACCACCAGTTTGGTATGAGGATTTCATGGTCATCCGAAATCGGGGCCGGCCGCGTTCTGCACGTTGGCCCATGACGATTCCCAGGGAGTGTACCAAGTACTCTCGGTTTTCGGAGTTTTAGGTAACAAATTCACCATAGGTCTGATGAACATCCACATACATCCACTCAATCACCTCCATGGTTTCCATCTATATGTGGTCATCCAATCAGACCGATGCGGAATCAATGCTGTGTCAAGAGAAGTGAAACAGACCGTATCCCTATGGGTCCAGGATGGTCCAGGTACCTCCTCAGGATGTCCTTTGGCTCCCAAGACCTTCATCTGGAAGTATTTTCACCTCCAAAACCATCCTCAAAAGGTACCTGGACCCTATGGGAGTATGTGACCGCAAGTAACCTCTTCTAGAATTCTCCTGTTTGAGCTCCTCGCCTACCTCCATTCCAGTTTGAGACGTGGACTGGGGACAAGAGCCGAACCTCTTTTTCACTCCGAGGCTCAAGAGGGCGAGTTCGGAGTGCTGAGCCGAACCGAAACTCGAGTTAAAGCCGTGGGCCTGAAGGAGAGCGTGTTGTTCTGGTTTTTCTTCAGTTCTTAGATACAATGCATGAGGTATGTACCAGGACCGAAACCAAGTCCGGCATTTGGACACTCCGAATCACCGCTTTCTGAGGCTATTTATAGACACCTCTTGGAAGGTCCTGGTATCCAATTCCCAACAGTGGATTTGTTCCGCTTTGCATCTTAGTGAAGTGATTGTCACTTCTTCCTGTGACGCTTGGGGCTTTCAGTTCCAAGTAACACCGGATGATGATGGTTAGTAAAGACCTTTCTCCAAATTTGTTGGGATGCAGGGTAAAACGCGATCTTAAGCCTTGGCTGCAGCTGCAGTGTGCTAACCTTTGACTCTGGAATGCTAACCGCATTGACTTACACGTTGTCATGTTTAACCCTTTCACCAAAATAAACTCTCAACTAAGCTGGTCTGGCATCCTTTTGTCCAATTATGATTTCTATGTTCAATTTACCTCTTCACCCATCCTGACTCATCCTACTCACTAGGCATTTTTGTTGACCTGTTCCGAAAGCCTCCAAAAAAGACAAAAAAACATCACACCCTTTGCTTGCTCATCCTTGGCTCTTGGATCCAGTACTGGATGTGAACTTGCCCCCAAAAGACTGTAACTGTGAACGGAGACTGGTTACACTACAGCTCCTGAACATCAACACGCAAGAGCTAGACATGTGCTAGACACGGCGCCTTTCCTTTACAGGTCCATGTCTACGTTCATGAAGGTGTATCTAGAAAGGTGGCATCATTAAAGCACCCCAAACCTGACCAGGTTTGAGGGCTCCAAGAATCCCTCTTGAGGGCCGCTCCAAGAAGCGATCCGGTCCACCGTCCGGTCTTCTCCTGAAGGGTCCGGGGACTTAGTCTGGGATACCAATCCTGACCATCCACGGAAGTTGGATGAATTGGGTCTACAAACATCTTAGAATCACCCCAGATTTGGTCTCCAATAGTTCATGATGGATGATCATCTGGAATGACTACTGGATACTACTGGTACCAATGCGGGTCTGCATTCACGGCCCCTCCATCTCCCCGAAACACGGCCCTCCCCGCATGGTGGCCAAAGGTGAGGTCGTGCCTTGTTCCGCCAGCGACTTCCGCGTCGTCAACGATGATTTCCGCCGGCAGAGGTGTTGATTGGTGCGAGCACGTGAAACAGATCGGCGGTTCGCCGTCCAACCAGTGAACACAGAGTGAAAACCACACGAAACACTGAAGATGCTTTTCCAAAAGGTTCACTCACGCGTGGTTCTTGGGTATGAAATGGATGACTTAATGGGGTTCTTTGTGGTTCTGTGAACATCTTTTTGAAGCACCCTACGTTTGGATCGTCCTGTCACACTCCCGTTTGGGAACTGGTGGAGCTGTCCACGCTACACGCGTCCAACGCGTCGTGTGGGCTGCATCGATCCCTGACATCACCCAGACCGGACCTGTTTGGTGGCTCAAATACTTGGATTGGCTCAAAGGAACCTGGATTTGTTTCTTTTTAAATCTTTTTAACATATTCACCTTCCAAGGAATGTTCACATGATTTCACCAGTTCGGGACAAACACTTCCCGAACGCCAACGCTCCCGAACGCCATCTGAACGCCAACGCCAACGTCCCTCTGGGCGCGGCGGCAACCGATGCGAGGCATCGTCCAAGCTCTTCACCACGCCGTGAACCTCGTGAGGCATCGTCCGAACAACCGGGGAACGAAGAAAAGAAAAACCAGTGAAACAACAACAACAACAACAACAACAACAACAACAACAACAAACAAGAAGCCTCCGAATTGTGTCTGTTATTTTTTCTTTGGGGGGCCTACTATTTTTGTTGCGGCTTTGTTGTGTTTTTGTCGCCGTGTTGGCAGACATTCCCGTGAAATGGAATAACGTACATGTATCTGACAATGTATCCCAATATTATGACTCCAATGCACGTATCAGCAAGTACTAGTAACTATCCCATACATGGTCCATGAAAAGTTTAATCAGTATGGTTCATACTGGCAGCAAGGTTTACCTGACAGGACCGCATCTAAGTGACCCAGAAATGGATGCATGGTGTGCCATAGAAAACCTACAAAAAGATAATCGGAACACCCTTCGTCCATATGCACTAGATATGCGTAGCTCATCTCCAATCTCCAACGAACACATCACATGAAAGTGGAGTTAAAGAATAGTCAGGATACTTGTCTTGGAAGGGACCATGCCATCCGATTCCATATGATGTGGTTGTCAGAGTGTAATGCCCCAACAATCCATGGGACTGGTATATATATATACATGTACGTATATACATTGATCTTAAAATCACCTCACACATATTCCATATATATATATGATAGATTATTGGGGGTTGTTAAACAAACACACCACAAATCACCCAATTGTCAAATGGCGATAGTATTGAGCACCAAAAACTGCGACAAACAACGATGCGATTCTGTTCCAACGATTTAGAAGTGCCCCCCTAGTAGGTGAATAACTCTTCGGCAGTCACCTCACCCCACTTTTCATAAGTGAAAACCATCCCCTGCAAACATAATGGACCTTCTCGAAAACACCCATGCAATATCCAAGTTCCCTTCATTTCTCCGCGTGGCTGGACCCTCCAAAGTTCGAAAACGGAACATGACCCAAACAAAAACATAAGTGACCTGGTACGGTCCAAGTGATCTCGAACCGGGATATCAAAGGGCCAGTCTGAAGAAACAAAGGAACCAACCGCCTCCCACGGACGGGCTCCGCGGCCTCCGCGCCCACGCCTTTCTCGGTGGGACTCCCAATGAGGTGCAAGACCTCGGGAGGTGACGGTCTGGTGAGGCCATCGGGTCTCTGAGAGTTTGGTCTTTTGAGAAGGTCGACCAAGCAACCATGAGGTCGACCAAGCACGTCTTCATACACCACGAGTCAATGAATGATTACCCTAAAAAAGGACGTTCAAAACCATGCAATTAAAAAGACTACAGTCAACTTTTCAGTAGGTTGAAAACAAAGAGCGGATCAAATATGAAGCAATTGAAACCACAAAAAACAAAACACTTATAAACATGAATGGTGTCAATACAATGAACACTTGACCCACTCATTTACACTAATGAACCTGCCTTTCTAGTAGGTTGCAAAAAATGTATACATATATATATATATAGTTGACTTTCCACGCTGCAATTATAAACCTCCTTTTGAGTTTGTGTGGCGTAATAAGAAGGTATCAATAATAATAAATATATAAATTTGATTGGTTCCTCTCAACCGATTTTCAACGTAACATACAATTGTAAACAGCTGCCACTAAAACTGTGTTTTTTTTTTTTCGAAAGTTTGCACTAATAACTTAGCTTCCCTCCTTCTGAACAATTGCACAACTAAGCTCCTGTACAATCAAAGCTTTGTTCAGCAAATCTTCAAACAATATTTATATATCCCGGTTTGTTGACTCAGCCGCTCTCCAAGTGGGGGGATACTCTTGGCAGTCAAGACTACAGGGCAAGTGCATACACAGAAACTGCTTTATGTAAATGTCAAGATCGTAGTGCAAAGCACCTATATAACATATGTGTGTTTTTTGAATGTTCGAGAACACTCCAAAACACCTACAAAGGTTAAGGCTATAGGCAAGGAGAGTCGACCCGGGACTATAGGTCGGAGACCCGGGGAAGCAAACCCGGGAAGCAGACCGGCAGGTTAACGAGGTTGACCACAGGATAGATAGAGCTGCACAGGTGTCACTTCAACGATTGCTGCAACCATATCACAGTATCGCTTTAAGAAAAACAACTGACACGCACGTCAGCCCTCCTTGGATGTTTTTTCAACTAGCCTCCTGGAACCGACCCGCCCAATCTCCAATGTCAAGACTAAAGGTCAGGGCATGAATAGCAAAGACATCCCTAGCTTTGCGCTTAGGAACTGAGAACATGCTTGAACTGATTGTTCCTTCTCACTTTCCCTGTCCTTTTGTTTCTCCTGTTGCCCTCCTATAAAAACGTACTGCAAGTCAAACCTCAAACCAACTTGAGAGAGGAGGGGGGTGAACGAAAGGTAGCAGGGAATCAGGCGTAATCCGGGAGGAGGTGAGAGGCCCCCCACTTGTTTGAAGAGAAGTGAGTGAGCGTGATGAAAGAAAGACTAGTGCACAAACGCTTGACAAAACCTCCAGAAGCTGTAGCGGTCTACGTGCCTTCAAGGAGTCACATATTTCTCAAATGCAACTTCGGATTTACATAGTGACGTGCGGCGACCCTGTAAATTGCGTGGCCGCAGGCCATGCTTGCAAACAGGACGTGCTCAAAAACACTGGTATTTACGAGGTTTCGTTGCCGTCGATCCACAGCCGCGGCAAGGTCTAAGGCCACGCTTGAAGACAGGAGGAGCTGAAAACACTGGTATTGACGGTATTTTGTAGCCGTCGATCCAAAGGCGCACCACGGTTGAGCGCTGGAAAAGCGCAGAAAACCGTGTAAATACCGGCGTTTTCTGCCGGGAAGGTGCACAAAACCCTATAGTTTTGTGCAATTTTGAAGCCTCCAAAAGCCTCAAAAACCCTTTCTGACAAAATCTTTCCTGGTTTTTGGTCTTTTTTCGGTCATTTTTCTAACCGAGACGCATCAAAAACCATCGGTTTTTGCGGTGTTTTTTGCCGGACAGCCACAAAAAACGCTGTAAATTCCATGATTTTTGGTCACTGCTGAGGACTGGAACAGCTGAAAACACTGATATTTACAGTGTTTTCGAACGGTTGACCCCGAGGCGCGCTAGGGTGGAGTTGAAAGGGGGGGGGCCCCCCCCCCGGCCAGCAAACGAAGATGTCGGGGACCATTTCTCCGAGAGATAGGCTGCAGCTCTGGGTTAATACATTTTTGCTAAAGGAAAAGGAAAACTCAGGTAGCGTAACCGCTACCTTTCGTGAACTGGCACGGAGTCAATTGGATTGCACTTCCCACCAAGGCCTTGCCAAACCACATGATGGCACGGCGACATCACCTTCCCAGATCTTTAGTTGTGAGTTGAACAATCGTTATTTTGATGTAGGCTGTAGGCTGTGGAAAGGGAATCGGAACCCCGTCGATCTGGAGGTTTTTCCATTTTTGAAAGGCGTTTAATGGAGGATTTACTAAAAACAATCCTGTATATATAGGTGACTTTTCGGCTTGGAAGTTCTTCCCAGGTCTAGGAAACTTTGAAACACAGCAGTGCCACCTATTGAGAACAATTGCGGGCTGGTGTCCTTTATTATTTTAATAGGTGGTGCCTGCTTCGCTTTCTAATTATCTCTTTTCCTTGGTTATGTGCTGGCTTTGTAATGTCTTGTGAAGGAACGAAACTCGATGGGAAGCTTAGAACGGCACAGCAAAACATCACCTGTCCAAATCTTTTGTTGTTAGCCGAACAGTCACAAAATAAATTGAAAGGGTTTTGCACATATATAAAAAACTACAGGGGAAGGGAAGGCCCTTCGATCTGGAGATGTTCAACTTTTCTAAGAAACGTTTAATAAAATAGTATTCTTTAATGATCTGTAATTAAAATTTTCCTATAGGCGACTTGTCGGTTTTGAAACCCTTTTCAGTTTTCGGATTTTGAAGCGACGCTGTCTCACCCTCCCGGGCCCGTCTGGCTGCCCAATTCAAAACACGTGGCTCTAGCTGCTGACAGGAACCCATGATATTTTTAGAACCTCCCATCTTGATGAACCCTATTATAAAAAATACGACACTGGATTTTTTTAAATAGGGGACGGTGCCTAAATGGATCCTACTTTTAGAAACATCCATTTTGAAGACCCCTTTTTTGACGAGGCTTGATTTATTTTTAGGGAAGGGGGGCACCCGTGTTTTTTTGTTTCTCCAGTTTGATGCTTTCTTACTAGATGCTTACACAGCTTGCTATGTCCCGCATATACGCTTCGCGCAGCTCCATTCGATGCTTATGGTTGGACAAAGAGAAGCAAATGTTCTGCTCCCAGTGCTGAATCTGAAGGTTCTTGCTGAGCATACCAAAAGGCATTCTGACCCCCATGTGTTTAGCGCCGACTCTGAGATTCTGAGCTTTCAACACGCTGAATCTGAAAGTTCTGGCTGAGCATAACAAAACGCATTTGGACTTTTGCTCGCTGAAATTGAAATTTCGCACTGAGGATACCAAGCGGTCACCGGTGGGCGCTGCTAGATTTTGAAAGCTTCGTGTGATATGCAACAGCGACGGTGGGGAGCTGTTGGGGGCGGGGAGTGCGGTATGAAGAAAAATCCTGAACTGATTTGGGCCCACCTAATTCTGATTGAAGTCAAAACAGACTATTTGGTGAACCAAGGCACACCTGTTTCTCTCTGCTTTCTTACTAGATACTTACACAACTTGCATCGTTCCGCATAGACGCTTCGCGCAGTTCCATTTTCTGTTCGACGCTTATGGTTGGACAACGAGAAGCAAATGTTCTGCTCCCAGCGTTGAATCTGAATGTTCTTGCTGAGCATACCAGAGGCATTCTGTCCCCCATGTGTTTGATGCCAATTCTGAGCTTTCAAGACCCACCTTAGCGAAAGGTCGTCACGTCACGCTGGCCACTCGCTCTTCTTAAAGACCCGCCGCTGCTCGGGTTCACGATTGCACGAAGAGCGTCCCTATCTAGAAACATCTTCTCTTTCCTTCCACAAGCTGTTCAACACATTAAGGTCTAATGTTCTCCATGAAACATCCACCCTCTTAGAGCTATCAACCACACGGAAGTCTTTGTTTGTCAAGCTATCAGCTACGGTGTCCTCGTCACGTGGCCCCAGCACTTAAACACATCCAGGCTTATGAGGGCTGCTAAGAGCTCAGCTGGGGCCAAAGCCCATCAGCTTTAAAGAGGTAAGGCGGGCACATCTTTCGGCCCGACAGTGAGTGAGAACCACCTGCCATCTTTTTGCACCCCCCGAAGGTCACTGCGCCAACCTCACATTTGGCATCTGACCTGAACTGTTCTCCCTGCTGGTTCCACACTGCCCTCACTTTGAGCATATAACTCTGCGTGGTCAGTTCCTGCTTTATGAACTTTAGAACTAATCGAAATAACTTAAGGACTGTGGCCACTGTACTCCTGTCTACGGGCGCGGCCCAGGAATACAACGAAGCCAGGTGGGCTTTGAGCCAGGGGAAAATTCTTGCAGCAAATTCGAGACGGCCAAGGAACTCACCGAACCTCCGCATCGAAACTGTGAACTTACATCGGGTCACTTCATCAATGAAAGCCACAAGCGAGTCATCCTTCGGACTGGTGATTCCTACGGAAGCTTCCACGTAGTATAGCCTGCAAACTTGCTGCGTGCGAACGGTGCCCCCAAAGTCTCGCACGCCAAGATCATGACCAACAGGTTCACAAACTTTTTCTGGCCCAAAGCCACTAGCTGAAGGTCATCAACAAAAGCAAGTTGATAAGTGGGCTCTGTGCCAAGTACCCATGACACCAGCCTGCCAACGCATCCAAAAAGCCTGGTCCACCAATAAGGCGCACTCCTGACACCGAAAGTCCCGCACTAATTAACACAAATTACGGATGACTCTGAATCTGATTTACACCAAAGCAGTGGCCAGTCAGCCCTTCGGACTTGCACCAGCCTGTGCGCAGCCCTAATAACCGCCGCAAGTGTGAAGACAGCTTCATGCGAAAGCGCAATTTCCCGCACAACGCCCGCAACATCATGAGGCCCAGGATATTGCAGCTGGTCCCGGATGCAAATCTCATTGTTTACATGGACATAGTGTGCGCCATCATGGACTGGCCGGACACTTCCATCGCACTTCGGAATGGCTCACATGGCCGCAACAAGAATTTCGCATTCGGGAAATTCAGATCGCAGAACACCCAGAACATGCGGCCTAAATTCTCCTCCTCCCGGAACTCCTCCTCAAGCTTCTCTTTGTATTCCTTCTGCCTGGAACTCGGTCTCGTTCAGGCTCCTCTCCAAACACAGCCAACGTTTGAGCAACTGGATGCAAGTAGAAACACACGCTCAACATGTTCTTTGTACTGGCAGCTACTGTCAAGAATAAAATCAAGCAAGCGCTGAACGTCGGCAATATACAACCTTACCGGTTCACCGGGTCACGCCGCAATCATCTTGGGGTGGTCAAAGCTCAGGTACACCCCTGATGCGTTGGTGCATGGCCCGTGATACCCACCGCAATGTTCTTGAAGTGGTGGACACAGTTGCGAGACAGCTTCCGTGACGCCAATTTGAACGAAGGCATGTGCCTCATGTGCCTAACCACACCTGAGGTCCAAATTCCTGCCAGAACTAACCAGTGCAGGTCTAACTGTTCAATTCACTGTGCGCTATACTTCTTGCACATCTCTTCAGCTGCGTGGATGTGACAGGGTCCACCCATGTCAAGACTACGGGTGCATTTTTGGTGAGCAGCATTTAACATTTCCATCCTAGTTTATAGACCTGCTCCCTGTTCAGCGTGTCCATGATACAATCTAGGATGCCAAGACTTCATTGCAAACAAGGGCATTAAGAATAGGCAGAACACATTTTTGTCATCAGTTCTGTCGGGTAAAGCTGTTGATGATCTGGTGCAACCGTCTGAGTGCAAAAAAGTCTGGTGTCCTATTCAGACTTGGCCTATGTTTCCTGCAAAGCACCAACAAATTGCATGTTGAGGAAGAGCTGCGAATTCAAAAGGTCAGCTGACCACCTTCTGTTTGCCCCCCGCCCCCCTCTCAAAACCTCGGCGGGCGAAATGTCAAGACGGTGCACATCCTTTGTCGAACTTGGCCGGACAAAACTATGGGCCTATCGCCGTGGTAGCCCTCCCCAATGTCAAGACTATGTAAGGGAACAACCGAACGTATTACTTTGTTTGATTAGTTACGTTGTTGTTTTTGAGCGAGTATTTTCCAAACAAACTCAACATTTATTTTCTGTCAATCTGAAATCTGAAACTAACAAAATTTATAATAACTCCTTAAAGTCAAGCATCTGAAAGATGTTGGCAAAGGGTGCCCCTTTCGAGTGCCGATGACATACAAATCCGCCGACCCCGGTCAAGGCCGATGAACGTGAGCGGGAGGGCAGCGGGGCCGGCGTGTTCCAGATGAGGGACTTCGGTGAGCGGTGGGCGGTGTCACGCTACCGTCACATAGACAAACATGAAATAGGGGTTCCCCTTTTCCACCGACCCAAGACCGAACAGCTCAAGTCACTGTGATTTACAGATATGTTGGTGGCCGTGACACCGTTTTCAATGGCCAGTGGTGCGAGATACGCTGCCCGAGCGCAGCCAGACCGCCCAAGATGGCCCAACATAGGAAAGCACGGAAGCGCTCCCCCTTTCCCAACTTTCTTCTGGTTCCTTCCCCCTGTGCCTTCCCCTTGCTGGGCCCCTGTCCGGCTGTTGGGCGCAAGCACTGAAATAAACGGCTGTCAATAAACAAACCTCCTTGCATGTTTAGCCTTCTCCTAGGTATTACAAAAATATATTATAAACCTCTTTCCACATTGAGCGAATTAGTTTACTTGCAAGTTCGACGCGTGCAACAAAAATTGATGTGTTCTATTACGAGTAACTTGACAGTGCGACGAACTAACTTGTTTGCCACACATTTTCACTAGGGGTGAAGGTTTTTTCATTGCGATGTGAACATTTCTGAGATTTTACACTAAAACAGCTATAGCTGGGCAGGACCAGGAATTCCAGTTCGGGATTGTACTGACACCAAATCCTAAGCCCTAGGCAAGTGGGCGAATAGCACTACCCTAAAGACCACATCTTCCTCTGTCCTCCCCGTCAGCCCTCCATGCGGATAAGCTGAGGCTCTCACCTTATCACAGGCAGCCGAAAGATCGCCGCTGCTCCGGACCACCTTGTTGATGCGCGCGGAAACCTCGGCTCTAGACTCTCCGCAGACGCCACGGGCGCAAGCGGCCAGGCAAATCAGAAGGTACAGTTGGTCATTGATTGGTTGAGTGCATTGGGGGTTCAAGCCCTACTTACAAGTGAACAGCCGTCCCATGATGAGGAGTTTGATTGATTCCACATTGTCAAGAGACTGCAGATTCAACAATAGTTCCACCTGTCGGGGATGTTAGGGCCCAACAGCTCTCTAAAAAAAACATCTTGATGGATCCTGGCATCGTTTGGTTTCTATGTAGTCTGTGTATGCTTCTATCTTCTAAAGGGAAAGGGCGCTGGTAGAAATCCCGACTATTCTTGACGGAAATACATGTATGTATGCGTGCGTGTATGTTGGTTGTTTGAGTATGTATGTGTAGGTGTGCGTGCGCCGGCCTGTCTATGTATGTGTATGTGTATGTGTATGTGTAT